GAACCATGAGCATATGGACCGGGATCTGACAGCTAGACGAGAGAGGAGATCCTGCACCTCCTCTTCACAAGAAGCCAACATGGCTGCCCTGGTGGTGCGGGGGTGGGGGGGGGAGGCGTGCGGGTACCTGGATGAGGCTGGCTGCCGGGTTCCGCCGCTTCTCGAAGTGCTTCTGCCTGTGCTGCTCCTGGACCTTCAGAGCAAAGCCGGAGCCCAAGATGCCCTGTGGAGTCGCCAAGGCAACACATTAGCGACAGCCCTGGGGTACCCGCCCCCTCGAGGGGCCCCAGACGCTCGGCTCCGATCCGTGCTCTCCTTGACGGATATGTGAGATGATCTGATTTCCTCTTCAAAATGAAAGGCTGTTGTTGCCACGGCCACTGTTGCCCGCAGCGCCGCATCTCCATACTTATTACAGGCATTAGGGGGCGGTGTGGTTCACCACTGGCATTCTCTGGGACCCAACTCTGACGGGTTGGAGGGAGCGGCAGAGATAATAATCTGCAGTGATGGATCTTCTGCGAACGGCTTGCACAGCAGTTTGGAGGGGAACAGGCTCCCTCAATGAAACAGCGTGTCAGTGTCTCCGGGGAGTGCAAGCGAGGGAGGACGCCCCCCCCCCCCCCGGGGTTATTTTTATGGCTCAGATCTCACAGGCTGACCCACTGCTGCCTGAGGCTCGGTCTGGACAGCCCCAGAAGCCACCTCCCTCCTCCCTCTACTCTTCTTTGTGGGGTACAATTTATTTTAATATAATTATCCATCCATCCATCCATCCATCCATCCTACAAGTGCTTATCCAGTTTGGGTGACGGGGGGCCTGGAGCTTCTGCCCCCCTGACCAGCCCATCGTAGGGCACACATGATCACCACAGGTAATTCAGAGATGCCATTTAGATTGAATGTCCAGCCATGGAGTTCAGAGGCCACCGTGTCACCCTAATATATATCTCCAGTTTAATAAATGTTAATTTAATGCTACAGGGCAGTAAAGAGTTGGAATTTTAAAAAGGTGGCCAAAAATAGGCTTTATGTGATGTATGGTAAGCAAAACAGAACAGTGAAGGTGAGCGAACAGCAGGGGGCGACTTGCTCACCGCGGGGAGGGCGAAGAAGGAGATTCCCAGCAGGGCGAAGAAGGCGGACAGCAGGCGGCCCGTCCACGTCTTGGGCGTCTTGTCCCCGTAGCCGATTGTGGGGGGGGGGGGCGGTGAAGGCCCCAGCTGAAACAGGACACCTTCTCTTGTGTTCCACCACAAGCCCCACCACACCACCCAGAGCAAACTTTGGCTTGGCAGGCAAGTGAGTGAACAGCGGGAGGGAGGACAGAGGGAGGGAGGACAGCGGGAGGGAAGACAGAGGGAGGGAGGACAGCGGGAGGGAGGACAGAGGGAGGGAGGACAGCGGGAGGGAGGACAGCGGGAGGGAGGACAGCGGGAGGAAAGACAGTGGAGGGGGGTCAGTGGGAGGAAGGATAGTGGAGGGGGAAACAGTGGAGGGAGGACAGCAGAGGAGAGGAGGACAGTGGGGGGGGGACAGTGGAGCTCTTCCTGTTACATCAGGAGCCCCCCACCTCGTTTCTGTGACAATGGACACTTTTCTGTCAGTAGTCTGTATAGTGCCCAATCATCTTCAGAGGCCTTAACAAAGATCTAACAGCGAGAAAGGCATCGTGGGAGGACAGGAGTGTAGCTGATCTGTCACAGATATTTTATGTTAAAACGGCCCAGTGGCAGCAGGGTGCTGAGTTTATGCAGGGCGGCGGGGGGATACAGCTGCACATGAACCTCTGGGGTCCGAGGAGGAAGCATTGCGGTTCAGCCCAAGGCAGCATGCTGACTACCAGCCCCTGATGCTGCCCTGTATCCATGAGGACAGGTCACTTCAGTGTGACTCTGGATGGGTCAGGGACGTCCCCTATCCAGACGGCTCTCTCTGTCTATACACATAAGTCAGCCCCGACAAACCAAAATATTCACAACCAGAAATATGAATGCACCAGGACGCGAGTTACGCGAGCAGCCGTGGTTCGGACCAGCCAGAACAGGGAAACATCCGTCATTTTATCCAGGAGCTCCAGCTCAGCTTAAAAGCCAACCCCGGTGGCCTGGCCCACCCTCCCCTGCCCCAGCCAAAGTGCCGAATGGCTCCTATCGATTCTCTGGTTCCCTCAAATCACGTCCGTATTACTTATCTGACTCCATGACCAACCTCGCTTTCCCATGACATTGCCTCGACACAATTTTCTCCCACTGCGATATTTACCCATTTAGCCCCCGCGACAGAAGCAGGCATAAATGAAATCTGGCACTTCGCTTCATTATGATTACGGCCTGTAATTGCCTCCCCAGAGCAGGGGCACAGAGTCCCGCCTGCGGCTCTCGGCGGAGAGACCGAGCCGAAATCTCGCCTTGAATTTTATGACCCGGAAATGACCTCCCTTGTCCTGCGAGTTTAGCGACATGCATTAGCAATCTGTGCCTCGCATTCCCCTACGGCTCCTCAGTGATGTGGGAGGCAAGAAAAACCCCCAGTGGAGTCAGTGTATTAAATATTGAATGGTATTGGGGTCTTTTAAAGCCCCTTTTGTCCATATTCCGAAAGCGCTGAAGGCTGGATGCACAGCTGGGCCTCTAGGGGGTGCTAATGCAGAGATCAGAACCCTCACCTCCACTCATATTCCCACAAGTGTGTTTTTTCCCATTCGACAGTTTCGGTCTCCACGATAAAGGAATGTCGGTGTGAACGGCAGGGTGTTGTCTTTGGCTGGGAACGACACTAAAGGGAATCGCACCTGGCTATGGGTTCGGCACTCACTGCCACCGATATCTCTAAAGGCTATTTAGCACTGTTTTGCTGATTAGTGGCCTGGAGGTCTGAAGACCAACCCCCTGAAACGTGAACCTCTCATGGGAGCTCAGAAGCTTTGCTGGCTGCTCTCTCAGGGACCTCAACACGGTTCTAAAAATCCAACATTCCCCTCTCTGTGGCGAGGCGAAAAGGGAGATGATTATAGTGGCATTATTCCTGCCTGCAGATGCTCAGAAAGACCCGAGTGTCTCTGAGCCACTATCCTTCCTGCAGGACACACCAAGATGGTGACCGCGTGCCACGGGGAGCAGGCAGCCTCACCTGGGAGCGTCATACGCACACATGACATGAGCCAGAAAAACATGATGGCTGCCAAGGTTCTTCAGAACCCCGGAACCCCGGAACCCCGGTGTCTGTGCCATATTTTACAGCAACAGTTGGAGAAGATTAATTACGTCCATGCTGATTTAAAAATCATTCAATTAAACAAACAGACGGTGGAGGAGAGAGAGGACCACACAGAGTGTTGGGGGGGGGGGGGGGGCAGTGAGGATGCTTTACTTTGCTCAAGGGCCCATAGGGAGAAAAGCAAGTGAAGACTCTGTCCCTTTCTTGTAGAGGTACTCTACTCACCGTGCCCCACCAGAGGGCGTCGGCATACGTGTTGAAGTCTACGTTGAACTCTTTCTCCACCAGGTACACCAGGAACGAGGAGAAGATGAGAACCAGGAAACCGATATACCAGGCGGTGACCAGCTCCTGCAGTGAAGGAGACAGGCCATGACGATGATGAGTGTAACTACGGAGGGAACTGATGCTAACTGCGGCTAATTCCACGGAGCGGTAGCCTGTGTCAGGGGATAAACAAGGTGGTTAGCAGGGACCACCCTGCATTTGCCTCCCCCAATATAACGATAAAGGCATATGGAACTGGCCCTTGGAAATTAATCCAAAGACGGCTTTAATATGTGTTATTCATGCAGTCTAATCCCTCAGAAATTAATTTTGGGAATAGCATGTTGCCAGGGAGCTAAATAATGACTTAGGCTGGCCAGAAATACCCTCGAAGCAGGGAGAACCCACGGGGCAGTGTTCTAGGATCAGCAGAACCCCGACTCAAGCATAACATAACACCCAAAGGGGTCAAGGAACTCCCTAGGAGTGGAGAGTGGAGTCGGAATTAGCCTGTCGATAATGAATTCAAACAATGGCCGTGCTAGCAGCTAGCTGCATGGCGTCAGGAATAGCTAACTGGCTCCTTGAAATGGACCATTTTCCACGTGGTCCCCGTCGCCCGGCTGCACGTACCTTGCTGTGGGCGTAGACCACGGAGCCCAGCAGCTTCCAGGTGCCGCCCCGCCGGTCCATGCGCACCATGCGCAGGATCTGCAGGAAGCGCAGGCTGCGCAATGCTGATGTGGCGAAGATGTTGCCCTGGCTGCCTGCCGACACCACGGCCACCGAGGCGATGAGCACGATGATGTCTGGGGGGGAGGGTTAGGGGCCGAGGTAGGGGTGAGAGAGGAGATGGTGGGCATCGGGTATGTTAGCATGTAGATGACATTTTCACAAACACCATTAAGGAAGAAAAAGGCCGTCCTGGGGAAGTCGAACTTGTATCCTAGGACAGGCAACCATCAACGGTGGTGGGGAGGGGGGGTGTGTGTGGAGAGGTGGCCTGTCATGCTCCCCCATCACCTGGTTGTCACCAGCAGCCTCCAGTTGGGTAGCGGCCACTGCGAGCACTGGGTCTGTGCAGGAGTACGGAGCTTTGACGATGGCTAACGCAGCTAACTGCTAACTCGGCTAATCACTAACGCAGCTAACTGCTAACATGGCTAATCACTAATGAAGCTAATCGCTAACGTGACTAATCACTATTGAAACTAATCGCTAACGTGGCTCTGGGTCTGCCACGAGGTGATGGATCTCCCGCTGCCGGAAAACGGTTGAGAAAACAGTTCCGGCGTGTTTTATAACACAGATATGATATTTAACACAGAACTCCTGGGAAGATCAACAAGTAACCACTTTCTCTGAAAAAACAGAATCAGCCCCATAAAGCACACAGACGTTGGGGCCCCCGGTCATTTCTGTACTGGAATAATATTATCCTTTTATTAAATCACATTTCTCCAAAGCTTTTGTCGTGTTGTCAAATTTGAAATCCTACGCCGACCGTATGTTTGCCCTTCTCGGGGAAAAGTTACGATTCCGTTCCTCCCGTTTGACGTTTCATTTTCTCAGTAAAACAAAGCCACCGCCTGTAATCCTTGCCACGCGGAACCCTGCGGTCACGGCCGAAATGAGCAGATCGGCATATCCCGTTACACGGGAAAGCGGCAGGCTTCCGATGAAGGCCGCGACCTGACGGAAAATACATTATCCGCTTGCGGAACGCCGCAGCTTGAGGGGAATAGGTGGGGGGGGCTGTTCTAATGGTGTCGGCTGGGTGCCCATCGGTGGCCGACATGACGGTCTTATCCCTGTCAGATCTGCCCGGCTTGTCCATCTCCAGAACACGGCTCAAGTGCACAAGTTAAGAACAACCTGAACCAAAATTCTACCCAGAAGATAAGAAAGTCTGACCAGGGTGGGCCAGTCGAGGCTACAACAACACAAAACAGCAGCCGAATGTCTGAGGCAACGTGATGTAAGCGTACTGAGCACCATGCAGTGGCGTTATGGGACTCTGAGTACCAGGTCAGGGGTACATCAGGTGGGTGGCCTGTAAGGAAGAGATCACTATTGTACAGAGGTAGAGAGTTCAGGTCCAGAGAGAACAAATCCAGACCAAGATTTTGTTTCAACCAACCAGTTGAGTACTCTGTGACTGTGACTCTTTAAACTTAACTGGTTGGTTGAAACAAAATCTTGGTCTGGATTTGTACTTTCTGGACCTGAAATCTCCACCTCTGCTATTGTGTCATGTGTGTGAGTATTACACTACTGACTGAAGGAAATAAATAAGTTACTATGTGTTTGAAGCCCTGAGCACCAGGCCTGTGTGGAGGCATTAGAGTCTGTACCGAGTCTGTACCGAGTGTGTTGTATAAACACAGTGTTAGCTGTGTGTGCGCGTTATACAGTAAAGGCATGAGACCAGAGTGTACCATGTGACTTCTGTCAGACACACTCGTTTGTTCAGATCCTCGCACACTCATCGGCAGCCTGCCCGCTCACCCCCGCTCACTCCTGCTCGCCACCAGCCCCGCAAAGCCATCATTTATTTACATAGGCCGCAGCTGCAGGATTTGCGTCAGGGAAAATGGCGCAATAAGCCTAAATACGGCGGGGTGAGCAGACCTGGAACGCGTCTCCTAATAAAGTGTGAAAGCCGTGCTGGCGGGACAGGCGGGCGGACATTAATTAGAGGAGTGCCCCCCCGTAGGATTTCCTTGCGCTTCTGGCCATTGTGGTGCTCGAATGGCTCGGGGTGAGAGTGGAAACCGCCAGTGGATCCCTGTGATTTGCGGCTCTCCATGACCCAGCCCGGACCCGCCGGACGGCTGCCTTTTATGACTGGCTTCATGGTCTGCTGTGACATTGCTTACACCACCTGGCCACAGGGGGCCCTAAAGGAAGGGCAGCAGTCCTGTTGGTATCTACTTTCCTTGGTTTGTACAGATTTGTGTGAGTTTCAGTAGCAGTGTGTTTAGTGTTTTGTTATCATGTGGGCATTTAGAGTGTTTGTGAGTGTTGTGCTTTTGAATGTTTAGCGTGTATCTGTGTTTGTGCGTGTATGCGTGTTTCTACACGTCTGTGTATATTTGTGCATGTCTGCAGACACATTTATGCATTTTTAGCAAGGATGCTGCCCATGGATGAAGTGCTGAGCTGTGCAGATGAGGCAGACATGCGTAGGTTGTCCATGGAGAAAATGCTGAGCACTGCACAGATGAGGCAGACATGCATAAGCTGGCCATGAATGA